GAAAGCCCCCAAAATCTCAAAACACTGGGTCAACTGACCCAGGACTGTGACAATAACACTAAACAGCACTTTAGTAGGAATTTCAGGTGTCAGTAAAGCTCCTGTCTCAACAACATTCAAGCATTAAACAATTATCAAGAATGTTAATCTGGCTGTCGCACACGCTAATAGTAGACCTTTAACTATTAGGAATTAACCAATAGGCACATTATCAACCTGTCACTAACATAGCAGCTGCCGGACTGCGGGATGCTTGTGAGATATTGAGATGCCGCAGAGCAGATTAAGTACGGGTGAAGAACCGAGCAGGTTTGTGGCTGTGCAGAGCAGCCGCGGAAACTGAGAGCCCAGAGTGTGAAGACGTAATACAAGCAAATAAAAAGTGAAATCCAGAGCAGAATTAGACCTGCTTAGAAGAATTAGAAGAGACTGAGGCGGAGCCGTGTGAGTCGTGGATGAGAAACAGGCTGCAGGCAGATGTGGAATGTGGAAAATGAACTTTAACTTTTCTCCTTTCACAGTAATTTATTAAAATGTCATCTATAGTGATGTCTTTATATCACTATAACTAATGGTCATTAATGAAATTGTCTAAATAATATGTAAAATGTATAAACCATCTAAATGTTTCTCTCACAAAACGCTACGTCTGGATGAACAGAATCAACTTTTGGAGATTTACTTACCTGGATGATTGAGCATGCATCAAGACCATCTAAACTTAACTGATCTTAAATTCTTATTTTATTAAATCTTCGAACATTAGTTGAAAATTAACAACTTGTTTTAAATATGACTTCTTCACCATAACTTTTGTTGTTGTGGGATGGGGTAAAACTTTTTCCAGTGGTATCAAAAATGGTATAATTTACCTGGTAATTCGTATTTTAGTATCCTAGAATCCCACTACAGAACACACAGAGATCTCTCCTTCTTGGCTGTTTAAAGGGCCGGTGCTGTCACGCTTCAAATGCATGCATCATTCCTCTCCACAACTCATAACCCAGTGTTTTAAAGAAACCTTATAAGTTGACATCTACAATGAGAAAATGGAGAGGTTGTTTGTTTTGTTTTTCCTTCCTTTTTTTCTGAATGACGACTTGCATGCATCTTTTCACTGCAGCAACTTAAGGATAGCTATAGCCTACACTTTATTTATTCAGAAAACAAAGTGTAGTAAAATAAACACAAATATGATAGTACTTAACAACATGAAAGTTGCATGGTGTCACCATAGTGACCTGCTGCGATGTTAAGACAGTTCTAGAATTCTGCTTCAATCATAACAAACTTCATTTGTGCAGGAGAAACAACCATTTTCATCTTGACCTTTTAGCTAAGTGCTCACATTGTATTTGACCATTTTTGCTATACGCAGCAACAACATTTTAATGGAGGAAAGTATTGGAGTCTACAAACCTACTGGGGTATGTGAGAGTCTTTAATTTTACTGCATTTGAACAGTATGAAGAATTTGGTGTATTTTTAAAAAAATACAATGAATCAAGTTAACTAATAATGAGTAACTTCTTGTTTCTTTGACAGGTGTTGTTTGACACACCTGAGTACAACACAGCTTTAAAGACCTGCTGGCACCCTCAAAGCTACAAGACTCAGGTAAGAACCAACTGGCGTAAAATATCTGGTAAATTTTGATTTATTTTTAGTGCTCATGATTAAATGTCTCTTTATTTTTAGATTGCAGTGATGATGGCATTCCTTGGACTTCAGCAGGAAAATCAGATACCACCTCATATAACTGCTGAAGATATGATCAACCTTTTAATGGAGGAGAACAAAAAAACACTGAGAGAGCGGTGAGTTACTGTGACACCAACAGACCATAGATGAACGTCTGTTTGTGATGATGCTGAGATAAAACCTGCTTTGTGTCCATTTTAAGACTTTGGGAGTTTGACATTGAGAAATTGGAAGAAAATGAAACCAAAGGTCTTCTGAAACTGGTAAGACAAGAAAACTGATGGACCTTATAGTAATTTGTAGATTTTTAAAAAGAATTTTCATTAACAACAGAAATGCACTTTATAAATGTTTTTCTTCTTTTGTTTTGTTTTGTTTTGATTTGTTTCAGGTGTGGGCAGTGAACATTATTAATAAAATGAAGGACATTGAGCTGCAGGCTCGGCTGCTCCTCAAATATCCAGAGGCCATACCTCCCAAATTTCAGTGAGTCCCATTTGACATACAGTTATGGAAAATTCAGCTACAGTGTCTCAATATATCTGAATACTTATAACTTTAATCTACAGAACGCCTAAACTCCTCAGCATGTTCAACAAATACCTTGAGATCCTTAAAGAGAAGCTGCAGGAAACACAGACCTCCAGACTGCTAAGCCCCCAAGAAGTAGGGATAGAGGTAGTTCCCAGAGTCCTGCAAGGCTTCTGGGAGCATCCTCCTTACCCCCTTTTGAACCTGGCATCTCAGAGTCTGAGCGAGCTCTCCACCTGTGTTACAAAAGCCACTCTGGATCAACTCTCCAACACTCCCAGAGCAAAGGAAAGCAAGGCCATCTTCTCCCGCTCCATGCGAGATGACATGGTCCAAACCATCTTGGCAGAAATTAGAGAGAAACACCCAGACGACACTGTGCTCAGCAACACTGCAAACCACACTACCCTGCTCACTACAATCGCTGGTGTAGCAACAAACCACATTTGTAAGATCTTGCAGCCCCAGATCCCCAACGAGCCAGTTCATCACACACAAGCTGCTCAATGCCCAACAAGAGATCAGTACGACTTAAACATTACTGGAACTGAGGAAGAATCAACAAGTCCAGAAATTATCGATGACATGGTAACACCAGGTTCTCTATCAGCCTCTGCTGAATCTCCATTTTTGTCTGAGGTTCAAGCCAGTGAGGAACACCCTTCAGAAACATCATCCATGTGTGAACCACTTATACCAGTTACCAATACTGCAGAGAGCTTTGAAGACCTTAAAACCAAGAAGAAAGAAAAAGGTTTCCTCCAAAAACTCTTCAAAGCTCTGTGCTGTTTCTGTTTCTGCGTCAGTCTCCCAGCAACTGACTGATTGTCTTTAAGACTCCTATCACCCCTTCTCTTTATTTTTTCTCTGTATCAAAAAGCAAACAAAAACAAAGAGTTTTCAATAAAGTTTCACGTTGCTTCATGTCTGCTACTCTGGAAATTCTTTGTTTTGTTAGGATCAAGAAAAAAATCAGCTCACAACAGGACCGCAGTGTTCAAGTGAGTAGGGGAGCAGCTACACTCTGCAAAGCTGACCCTCAGCAGTCTGTTTAGGAACAGAGCTGTACTGGTCAGACATAAAACTGTCAGCATTAAGGGATTCATTACAAAAACTGCCATTTTAGCTAAAGATTCATGTTTTATAACTTATAAAGTTTCATTCATTAATGGTTAGTCATTGAACAGAATGCGTGAAACAGATGCCTGTTATGGAGTCACAATATATTTCAGTGAGTGCATTATTTCATCCAAAGTAAAAATCTGTAAAATCAAAATCTTCAAATAGGGAAAACGGAGTACCTGGTTGGGTAATTGCAGATATTTGAAAATATGAAAGCAAGGAGAACTATGCAGAAGTTGGTATCGGGAAAAGACACACGTTCTCGTAGCTTTCCAAAAGATTTGATTTTCAGATAAATTATTTTAAGAGCCGCTCTATGGAGGTGCCAGTTTTTACAGAAATGTTACATTTGCATAGAACTTTAGGTTCAGAACAATGTGTCATTTGAACAAGGACACTTTCTCAAATCATCAATTTGACTATCTTAGTTTTTTAATCGATGATATAGAATTCCAAGCACCATCGGAGTGTTTGTTCCCACCGTCAAGCATGAAGGGCAAGAGCTGTATTTATAGCTCTCCACCCTTGACGCCCTTTATTATCATATTGCGATCATAAAGGGATGGGCATGGACAATGTTCCATACACGGTTAGGCTGCGGGATTTCAACAATGCTCAGGTGTTACTAAGGGGCGCGATTTTAACACCAGCAGCTTGAACTGTTGCTGGAAGGCAGGATGGATCCATGCTTTCATGCTGTTTACACCAAGCTCTGACCCAGTCACAGCAGAAATGAAAACTCTCTCTGTCAGACCGTTTTCTGTAAATCCATGAGATGATTTTGTAGCAGTTTGAAATACACAGAAAACTGTCTGGCGCCAACAACCGTGTTGTGTGTAAAATCACTCAAAGGTTTCCCATCCTGATTCTCAGTTTGAACTTCAGCAGGACGTCTCAGCCTATGTGACTAAATGCATTGAGTTTTTGTCATGTGATTGGCTTATCAGATAATGAGGAGCTCAACAGGTGTACCCAGTGAAGTGGTTGTGAGTGTAGAACACATAAAGCAGAAAGAGACCCAAGACACAGCTCAAGAAAACATTTTTAGGTTATTTACATTTATTAATGAATCACATTGTATTTAAGTGTCATCCTGAGAAAACATTAAAAAGGTTGTTTTATTAATTTTAATAATTCATAATTAAATTTTCACATTAGCATATTGACAACACTCACTACAGACAACAGAAAATCTCATCTACAGTCTTCTTTAAATGTTATATTTTACTTTTCATACAGTATTTATTAATAAAACATGTCACTGCACATCAATTTATTCATTGAATGTAGTTTTTGCCCTTGTAAAATGTAATAAAATGCATGCATTTTGCAGATGTAATGTGAAGATGTGCTATTTACCATAAAGTTTTAACTTTTACAATATTTGATGCAGTTTTCTGAATAAAATGTAATTTGAATTTAAACATAATCAGTTATACTTTTTTTTTAAACGTCAAATGCTTAATTATATACATGTGTGTGAAAAAGTGTTTATTTTATTTCTATTAGTAGTAGCGGTGGCAGTCGTAAGAGCAAATTAAAATCACTCAACAAAAGAATAAGTTGAAACAGGTTAACCGATCTGAACACCCTCCTCTCCCTGAGCTTAATTGTTCTGGCCTGAATGCCAAGTACAACCAGCTCCATTAAAGGGTGGCACCCAATGCTGAAGAGAGACAAAGTAAGACGTCCACATATGCAAAGGTAGGCTGAGCTGGAGTTACTATAACACTCATCTCTTTAACCCAACAAATCATCCATCCAGCTACTGTTCTCTGATTTTTGCTCAGTATTGTTTTCTTCAGATGCTAACAAGCTATCAGCTAATACATTTGCACCACCTGGCTCAGACACTGGCAGTAGTTGTGCTTCTGATCCAAAAATGTCATCAGCAAAAAGGTCCATCTGAGCTGAAGGTGCAACAACAGAGGATGCTTCAGAGCCGAGCAAATCATTCAGTGAACTCTGAGCAGCCTGACCGCTTGGTAGACCTGTGAACACATCTGCACTGTTTGAGACATTGCTGCTTCCAAAGATGTCATCAGGGAAAGCAGTTCCTCCATGATCGAGCACATTAACCGGAGGAGGCTGATTGAAGAGATCATCATTAGAGCTGAATATGTCAAAGTCCTGTTCACTTGTCTGCTTCTCACTGCCAAAAGGATCCAAGGGTTGACTAACATCTTGGCTTATAGGTGTTGAGTCAGGGATGGTGAGTTGATCTGACATGCCAATAATTGCTTCATTTTCAGATGATATTGGTCCAGAGTCAACCAGGCTGGAGCTTTGAGTAGAAGCAGGTTCAAGCAAAGCTGTGTCAGTCATAGAAGTTGAAAATGTGCTGGGGGTGTCAGGCAGACCAAAGAAATCAGAGGAATCTTGTGCACTGTTGTGGATGAGATCAAAAAGCATTCCACGGCTCAAGCTCCCTTCTCCTTCAACCGGTGGGTCATGTTTGTTCAGCTGTTGGGCAGATTCATCTGTTTTTATCTCTGTGGCCAGTGGGTCAGCAAAGGGTGACGTGACACTATCTCCAAAAACGTCATTTAATGCATCATCACCTTTCTCAGGTATTAACTCACTGTTTGATTGCCCATGCGGTGTGCTCAGTAATTGTGCCGCAGGGTCAAGATCTTTAGACTCTATTTCCAGATCAGAGACGGGCAGGTTTGTAGCCTCACTGCTCTGTGAATGAGATTCTTGATCACCAGTTAGAATTGCATCCGTTTGCGCTATGGATGTTAAATCATCACCTGTCTCACTACTTATCATGGACAGGCCGGAAGGTTCTGAAGATCTACAGTCATTATTATGTGCATCAGGCTTGGCGGACTGTAACTTGTCCGTGATGTCGCTCTGAAGCGCTTGTTCTTGAGGAGGGACTTTAGATGGGTCTTCTTCTTTTTGTGCATCTTTTGTAACAGAGCCTTTTTCATTCTCTGTTTTTTTGTCATCAACATGAGTTTCATCCCTTCGCTTGTCCTGAGCAGCTGATTTTGTGATGTCCTCAGCCTTCTCTGCGGATGACTGAAGTAGCCTTCCTAAGAGTCCACTGCTAGGTTTGACATCTGCTTTCCTGGCATCCTTTTGTTCTGCTTTGTTTGTTTTGTCATTTCCACTCGATGTGAAGAGTTTTGACAAGGGGCTCTTTCCTTTGGACCAGGATCCCAGTTTGCCTTTGGCCTTTTCAGCCTGTTTGTCAGAGCCTTTCAGAGAATTTGTTCTCCCAACAGGCTTCTTCTGATCACCACCTTCTTCATGAACCTTTTCAGGCTGATTTTTACTTTTTTCAAGACTGACTTCCTCTCCATTCACGGGTCCTGCAGGACTTTGTGCTGTGTCAGCATTTTCTGATTCATGCTCGCTAACAGGGTTCCCTGGACTGACATCCAGTTTCTCAGAAGGCTCTTTTTGTGTCATGATGTCTTGAGTTGAAGTGAAAGCTTCAGTAAGACTTTGGGTGATGAGTGAGTCATTAATCTTCTTCACATCCCCGTTCAGAGTTGCAATATCATTCTGCGGAGTTTTGAAACTGTTCCCTACGTTCGCATCATGCTCTTGGTTTGACATATTGGCTGTTTCTTCACGGTGCTTATATTCAGGGATTTCAAGGTACATCTCACTCTTTCTATTTTCTTCGCTGGATTCAGATGCCAAATCATCGAGTATAGTGTTTTCCCTCACGTCTGTTCCATCATTGGTTTTATTTATTTGTTCAGACTGATCTGCGACCATTTCATTTTCTGTACCTGAGCTCAGCTGAGAGGATCGGTCGTATCGAGCGACATCAATATTTGGGGCAAACCTTACGGATTTCCGAGCTTTATTTGGAGAAGTGTCCAGCCTGTTGGCCACTGGGCTGTGGTTTGCTTTTGAGGTGGGGGCCACATTTGTGTGAACTGTTTTTTGATTCGTGTCAGAAATTCTCGTTTGGACAGGACTGACTGGTTTTGTTTTCTCTGAGGGAAACTTCTCAGCTGAGATAAAGCTTGCTGTTGTAGACTGTTCCTTCCCCCTCTTATCTCTCATTCCTTCTCTGTTACTGAGCCTGTCGCTTTTCCAATGCTCTGAAAAGCTCATGCTAACTGCACCTGCTCTGCTGATGTCAGAGATTTTATTTTTCAGAGCTGGTTCATATGTTCGCTGCGGAGAATTCTTCTTCTCTGGTGGCCAGCTCATTTTTAGTTTACCTTTAACATCAGCAACACTTTTATCTCCCGACGCTCTCAGGGATGACTTTGTGGCAAACGCTTCAGCAGAAGCCTCTCTGCAGCCATTAGAAATGTTTAACTTGTTCTTTGACATTTTGGGAGTGGGCTTAGCATCTGGCTCATCTGTCCCTTTATTTTTATCAAGCCAGCGGTCTTTGTGTTGCTTGTGACCGAAGCCCTCGTCATAATTTCCTTTTCTTTTAAAAAGCTGATTGTAGTGAGAAATGCAGTAGAATTCGCCATAAAGAGAAGAATAGTTGTGTGTGCTGCAATGAAATGAAAAAGCCCAAATATAAAATCAGATCTAATTTTGTTTCTCTCACATTATTGATTTGTTGTGCTAGATCAGCTTGTGTGAATGATTTATTCATTGATATTGAGGATTTATTTCATGTATGTGTTTCATTTATTAATGCAAATACTAAATCTTTTCATCTTGGTAGTTTTGATTGGGTTCTATATGATAAATATTCCAATTTCTATAATTTTGTTCTAACATCTCACCTGAGCTTCTTCTTACAGTGTTTACAGCAGAAACAGTTGTAGTGCAGAATGAGTTTATTAGCCACCATTTTCTCCATTGGGTAGACTGGTGTCAAACAGGCAGAACACATTTCCTTGGCAGGCGGCTGGAACTACGATGATGAAAACAAACTTAATTTAAGGTTAATTAGTCTTGTAGGTTTGACATGACAGGATCTTTTCTGTAATGTTTTACAAATGCAGCCACCTGTAGTGGAGAGATCTATGATCTACAATTATGTGTACTTTTTTAAAATAATAAGTTAGAAGAAACGCACAGGAATTACTTACAACTCACATCTAAGATGTTTTAAGGTTTACTCCTAATGTCGCATGACCACTGACAAGTTTGATTCCTGGTATTTAGCAATTACATAACTAGATAATGTCACATTTATGAGGTATTCAACTTTAGGTAAAAACAGCAACAGTGAGGCTTTCAGATGTGTTTGATGTTTGCAAAATCCTGTATTTTCAAACCAACTAACAACAGGAGAAGAAAAGAGAGGTATTTTGAAATGAAGGTCTGGAGCAAAAGTAGAGAAAACGTGACCAAAACAGAAACTGACATTTTAAAAAGCATAGCGGTGGTGTGATTTCTCATCATAGATCCATTACAACTGTGCAACATCTGACTCCAGGTTTCCTTTAAAAGGCAATTTATGAAGTAAATTGGTGAAGAAATACTCTTTGTAGAATTTACTTAAGTAACTTAGGAGTATTGTGTGAATTATTGGTTGTGCACCAATGTACTACTGTTTCATATATTAGCCTAGAGATTGGATATTCATTCAAACTAAATACCACTGGATTTTTAAAAAGGAGTCAATTTTATATTTGTGGTTTACAAGTTAATGGGCTTTGGGAGCCACGGGAACATTTTCCATTGCCGTAAAAAAAAAATGGCAGCAAGGCGTAGTGGCTGCGCCATTTCATCTCTGTTTATATACAGTTAAGTGACAATTTTGCTGGGCAAAATATTTAAACAACAAATTAAGAGTTGTAGAATAATCAAGCCATGTCTCAGCTACACAAAGATTTTAGATTCATTTAAGTTTTTGCTTGATTTTCTTTTTACCCCTTTAAAAAAAAATTTTCATTACTGAATTGCATTTTGCCTGGCATCTCCACCAAGACAAGATCCCAAATCAGCAGGGACATTTAACTTTAGAGATTCTACATTTTATTATCATCACTTTGATTTCGGGCCAAGCAAAGTCGATATACACGGAATTGAGTTATAAATTCTGTGTGCAGAGATGGGCAGTAACGCGTTACTTGTAACGTGTTACTGTAATCTGATTACTTTTTT